GTCTCCAGCTGTCAATCAAGTGCCCCTTGCCGTTAGCCCCGCCCGTTCTTCCCCTCAAAACCGCCATCCCGTTGTACCCGACCCACCTACAGAGGATTTCTCACTGCGGCCGCCTGTTGGGCTTCTGCCCTTGTTTTATCAACAGAGCATGTGGGAGATAAGCTGGGCAAAAACGGAGGCCAGTTTAGGGCTCAGCACGTGTTAACCAGACGGCTCAGAGTCCACGCATCCGGGGGGAGGAGCTATGGTCACACGCCTAGGTACAGGCTTCACGCCGCGCCGACTCCCTGCGTCCAATCCCAGCATCTGTTGACTGACCGATTTAAATGCCATATCGGTGAGTGTGGGAGGGAAGAGTGTGGTCAATTCTGTCTTCTCCCTCCCCATGGATCTGCATCGGATCCCACTCTACAAAAAATCTGACGCGCTGAAGGTCGTGACTTGGGAGGCTGCCAACTACTAGGATAACTTGGTCCTCTCAGGACAGAGAGTCAGGCTGCAATGACTTCACAGTGTGACCACTATGGCATTCCCTCTCAGATGTGAAAACGTTTTCCGTGAACAAATATGTTACTGACAAAAAATGTAGTAAGATGAACATTTAACATTTATATTTTATGTACCGTTTTCAATTGGGTCATCAAGGGCATTGCCTATTACCCTAAAATTCACTATTATTATCATTATTATTATTATATAAGACCCGAGCCGCCTCCCATCCCCCTGCTTCTGTGAATGTCGGGCCCATAGTACATGTCATGCACAGACAAACTGCTTAGTTTTGTCAGTCGGCGCGCCTGATTTTGCTTTTGGCTGTCCTGAGCCTGTCTTTCCGCTGAGCCCAGGAGGATGAGGGAGGGGAGAGTGCGCAGATGCTACGCCAGTCCATTATCATTAAATCGTACACAAGCCACCGTTCCTGCGCCCACCATGTTCTTAGACACACAGTGAGCACTGTCGTTTGTGACGGTCGACCTGGCAAATCAACGTATACCTGATCCTGTACTCGGATGTTATCGGTGATGGCCAATACAGCACCAGACAACTATGGTTTTCGGACCAAGTTATTACAGCACATGGCCGTGAAACATCTACTGGAAGCTGCCGGCTGTAATTCTAACCTGTTGGTTACCTAGCGAGTGTCAAATAAACCCGAAACGTCCCTACCAGCCCGCCGAATATCGCTCTTAAATTACGTAGGCAAACTAAACCAGGCATAAAGAAGCAGCTTACAGTATCTGGTGGCCCATGCTAACGGTGGAGCACGGAAACACGTATCCTTCGCATTACAGGTAGCCTTACGCTCCACTCCAGGGTTAGGGTCAAAGTTGAGACACAGGAATAAGTTCTCCCTGGAAGACAATCTTCAATACGCGGTTACCTATTCCTGTGTCTAACCGACCATTCCTTTTTCTCCCCTCTCATGAATTGATGACATGCTTACTGCATGCCTGCTTATTAAAGGATCGATTGTGCGAGGTGAAAGAGAAGTACCGACAGGCCAGCGGAGGGATCACAGAACGCAGCAAGGTGCTCGGCGACCTCACGGACGAACTGGAGCGTGTGAAGCAGGAGATGGACCAACGCGGCTCCAGCATGACCGACGGCTCCCCAGTGGTCCGCATCAAGCAGGCTATCCAACGTCTCAAGGCCGAGATCACCGCGATGGATATTCGCACCGGAGTGCTGGAGCATACTCTGCTGCGGATGCATCTTCGGGCGCGGGAGGAGAGCCAGAAACCCCTTTTCACCCGCTACACTGTGGGCGGTGGGCCGGAGACCGATATTGTCTTCTGAGACTGTCCGACCCGTCCTGCCGCCCCCTTCACCCCCATCCCTCCTTCTTTTCTTTGTCTTCCACCCAATGTCTGGTGTCTCGGTGAGCCTGCTAGATCTCCAGGCATACTACCGTCGCCACATCGCCGCGCTTCAGTCATACATACGTGGTCATTTGTCATCCATAGAGTCTGTATTAATCCTGCTTTGCACTTGTGAATATGATGTTTTAATGCCTTTCATCAAGAGTTATGGTAAGGACTGCTATCTACACCCGTTTTCGTCTTCTTCATATAAAACCGGAAGCAGATTCCATTACATGACTGGGTGGTCGGTTAAATATTAGGTGCATTACTTGTGTTGCGTCCAAAATGGACATTCTATTAGTCTTGGCAAGAAAACGGGGCGCTGTTGGTCGGTTAATTGGCTGTCGGATGGGATTACAGGATATGCTGACATTACCTTCTGCAAAAACGATGCCTTGAACCCAATTGATAAGAAGATTTCCCCAGACATTTATTGTCGCTCCGGCGTTTCCAAACTGATCAAACCTACCGTTTTCTTCACCGACTTAAAAACCCATTCCTGGAGTCGCGTAATTGAATTTAGTGACCCGCTTTGTCTGTAAAGTATCTGTTCACTGCAACTCATTTCAGATGCCTTTCGTTTTAACCGCTCCCAAGTAATTCTCCACTGGTAGTTTGGGCGTATCTTCACGTATCTCAGTTCGGCCGTCATAAGTAACAACATTCGCTGAGTGAGAGCACCACCGGTGACCTGCGCTTGAATTAGTTTATTCCAGTTTATCTGGTTAGGATAACTGGTGATGACTTTGGAAGCCCTATTGCTTATATGCCAATTCGTTGGATACAGCTCTACACGCACAATTAGAATTGCCATCAAAAAAGTACTTGTAAGTTTTAAGTAGCCATGTTTTGTTTAAAAAACAAACCCTTTGTTCAGAAGGTATTTAACCCGTACTCGGATTGTCGAGGGAAAACAGGGGATGCATTCGCCGCACTAATTCCTCCCTTGCTCGTCTTGCTCCGGTGACGAAAACATGTAAAGATGACCACAAGAAGACCCGGGGACAGAGGCTGACAAGATCGAAGAGCGCGTCTGCGTGTGCCACGCACGACCCAGTCCTTACAACGTCTACCGGGCTTCTCTAGGGAAGGCCGGCTTCTCATGTGCATGATAGACTTCACTGCGAAGGAGCCCTTGCAACCTGATCGTCCATCCTCCAGTCACTCCAAAACATCTAACATGGGGGCCTGGCTACCTTGCCAGTTGGTAGTTCTCAAGTCACGACTGTTGGCGAGTCGTGTTAGATTCTAAGGCGTCAGGTTTATTATTAATTTGGGATATGTCTATTTATCGTGGGGATTGATTCCCCACTGTCGTACTCTCCCAGTCACCAGTCTGCCGTCCCTGTCTATCAAGCATCCAGTGATGGAACTAGGCGCAATTGCTGACGATGCGCGAAGGCCTACGTGCGCACGCATTTGCGGCAGTAATTATGAGTTCGTGAGTACTGAAGGAGGCTCGACAAACCGGTTCCGTGAGTAATTCGACTCACCGTTTTCGTCTAGTGGCGCCTGTGGAGATAGTCAAGCCTCACATGCAGGGATTTTCATGACTATAATCTCCAAAAATCCTTTAATTGACCAGCTAAACCGGAATTCAACCTATATTTCTTGTGCTCAAACGACTTCCATTGCTTGCGTCAATCAGCACTACTTTTATTTTACTGATCTCCTAGTCGTGTATAAGTTGTTTCTACGTATTTCTGCCGTCATAATCCACGTGAACTTTATGCTGCTCGCACCGCGGTAGTTTTAACTCTATTTTAACCCTGAGATACATTTTCCCTAGGTTGAGTTCTAGCCCTCTTTACAGACCGAATGCATCAAGAACACTTAGTGAAGTGGGATTAAGGGAAGAAGTTCGCCACTGTATACTGTCAGACACCATTTTCTTCGTGACAAGACGAAGTCGTGACCCCTTACAAAAAACGGACATTGAGAAAATCAAATTTCACGAGCGTACGTTGCCGATTAGTCCTCCTCAGGTATGCATAGTGGCATAAATTACGATAAAGCAGCGGAAGTTGAAAGACGGCCAGCGAACAATGGCCATATGGGAGAGTGACAGTTCGACCATCGATTTCGATGATGTCCACCGTGTACCCCACAGCAGGCTGGAGCAGGGACGGTGACTTGCGCAGGGGTTTATAGTGCCAGTAGACTTGCGCTGCATCTACCTACACTCTCTCCACCTCCCTCGCCCGAGCCCGGTGTCAAGACAGAGTCAAGAAGACCGGAGACGAGGGAGGCCGCAGGTGGATGGCTCGGACGGATCCTCACCTTGGCGTTCCACCACACCCCCTGGTCCACACAACAATAACCAGGATTTCAACCAACACAATAGAGATGTGGAGGCTGGCACGGCCGAAGCCGCACCTAGGCGTGCCGCCAACGCCTGACTCGGATCCCATACTGTGGTGGGAGTGTCATAAAGGCCACATTAAAAAGGAGCCATTGCAGCCTGACTCTCAGACCGCCTCCCGTTAAGGAGGAGGTCCAAGGTACCCCGTCAGTTGGCAACCTTCCAAGCCACGGCTTTTAGCGCACCGTGATAGCTTCAAGCGCGTCAGATTGTTTATAGTGAGGAAAAAGTGCGCTGAGTCGTCGACCTCACTCTCCCTTCCCATTCCCACACTCCAGCCGCCGTCCGAGCCGGTCGGCAAACTGGAGTGGTGGATGGGCGCGGTGGCTGCCACGGTCGACTGACCGTGACTGCGCGCGCCACAGCACGACCTGGCCCCCCATACACACACAAACACCAGGATTTCACACAACGGGGGTTGAACGGCGTGTCCCTCACTTGCGTGAGAGGGCCGTGGAAGGTGCTGCTTCAGCCCGTTCCCAGCCCACCAGTCCGCCACTCCACACAGCACACACACACAACGCGACGAACTGCGTGAACCGAGGGCGGCCATCAATCAGCTACCTTCCTATCCACGACACTTGAAGTGTCGGGATAGTCTCGGACTCAAATCACCCGTACAGCCGAAGCCGCGTGGGAACCGAGTCGAGATGCACACTTCCCACTTGCGTGGAAGGTGGCAGTTGGTGCATGCATGGTGGGTAAGTGTTGATGTGTGTTGGTGATGGTGGAGGAGGGTAGGGAGTGTGTGGATGTGTGGTGTGACCGGCGGTTGTCTACCGCAGGTCGTCGTGGATGCGCATGTGGCCGAATAGGCCCATGCGGTGCCTGAAAGTGCGAGGACAGTGTGAACAGTTGAGACGAGCTTGGTGGGTGTAGGTTGGTGCTCCAGGCACTGGTTCTCCGGTCTCTGTGCGATGGATTCGCAAGTGACCGACCAGGCCGATGCGTGAGGTGAGTGTGCGTGGACAGTGTGGGCACGTGAAGTCGGCGGTGTCGGAATCAGCTACAGAGGAGGCGTTGGTGGTGGCGCAGATGGACGGTGCGAGGGTGGTGCTGGGCATGATGGGCGTGGTTGGTGTGTCGGAATTGTGGTCGATTCCGCTCTCGTGGATGCGCATGTGGCCGAATAGAC